GGGGGGGGGGGTATCGATACAGATACGTACCACTGCGTCTTCCAAATGTTTGTGAATCAGATGCCCGGGAGCTCACTTACTAACTTACTTATGGAGCTCAGCCCTTCTTGAGAAGCAGCCAATTGTGCAGCCACTGAAGAATTTTTCAGCCTTTTATGGAACCCGAAAGTTCATTACCGTCTTCACCACTGGTCCCTATCCTGAGCCAGATCAATCCAATCCACACCATCCCATCCTATCCCTCTAAGATCATTTTAATATTGTCCACCCACCTTCGCCTTGGTCTTCTCAGTGGTCTCTTTCCTTCTGGCTTTCCCACCAACACTCGGTTTCATTTATAAAATTTTGGGCCATGTGTCACACGCCTAACTGAGCTTCGGGAGGGGACAATATTAGCTCGAAAATACTTAGGCCTGCCCGATGTCCAGACTTCACTCCGCGGCATTTCTTCGTGTGGGGTTTCCTGAAGGGCGGAGTGTTCAAACACAAGCCGCACTTTTGACGACCTGAAAAGAAATACTGCCACGATATTTCTGCATTCTCTTTTGCTATGCTAGGTGCAACATCACGAACATGGAGCGTCGCGTCGGCATGTCTCTCAAGGGGGAGTAAAATCAATTTCAACATCTTCTGTAACCCAGATATCTGCATATCCACCAAGGTGTACATCCGTCAAGTGCATTTCTAACCGTTCAATTATTACCTGATTTATAATTGTTTATTCGGGAATTCTTCCAAGTGAACCTCTCTGAATATATTGAATGAATAAAACTGAAAATAAATATATGTAAATTGTTTAATTGTCCCCTGTGTTTCAAAGTCGTATTTTAATAAACTACTACAAAAAGGTAAAGTTGTCTTGCGCTCAACGAATTAAGCACCACGCCATGAAGGCGTATGGGAGAGTGGATGTATAGATCCACATTTTCTAGACCTTGGCACTATCTGGAGGTGGTCAGCTTCACGCCCTTGTCACTTTATCCCCGGGGAAAGAGCCCCAGGTACTCATTAGATAGGTTGGGTGGACCCCAGAGCCGGTCTGGACGATTTGGAGAAGAGAAAATTCTTGACCCAAGAGGCACTCGAACTCCGACCCCTCAGTTGTCCAGCCTGTAGTCAGTCGCTACCCCGAATAGAACACTACATTAAAACAATAAAACAAATCTCATTCTAACGCAGCCTAAACTCAATAGAGATTCCCCTTCATTTTTATTTCTTTAAGGCGTGACCTCATTCAGGAGATCGCGAATATGAAAGTTCTGAAATGACTGCATAGCGTCAAATCTGTTGTACTGTCTTGAAGAGCGGAAGACTGTGTTTTGCACAAAGAA